TTGCCAGCCAGAATTATTGGAAAAAAATAACAGTGGCCTGGGCACTAAGTTAATATACCTCCAATCTGATAGAGACTTCCTAACAGAGACTTCATGTGGATGTGATGTGTATAATGGTGTAAACCTGGTTCAGGGGGAGCTGTGAAGCCCAGAGAAAGCCAGTAATTTACCCAAGCTCACACAGGGAGATGATAACCAAGGCTGGCCTGGGCCTGGGCCAGCATCTCACAAGAGGCTGTGTCACCAGAGTACTGGAAGGGCAAGGCTTTTTTCTGTATTTCACCTTAATAATGATGGAGCCTGGTACAGTCAGGGCTACTCCAGTGACTGGCCAGGAGCCTCGGTAGCCATTATTGGAGCTGTAAGTCATTCTCTTTATCCAGATCCTAGGCGGCAATTTAGAAAATTTAATTAAAGGGGGAGAAATGGGGACACCTTGAGTTCCCTGCCTCCCGTTAGAATGAGTGAAATACACAGGCTATAAATGGAGGTGCTGTCGGAGACGCAGCTCTGATGTTTTATTGCCAAGTTTTATTCGCTGATGTAAACGTAATCGCTGGCAACTGGAGTTCTATTAATGCACATATTTCCACACACCCAGGGCCCCGCCTGCCCCGCCCCCACCTCAGGGCGCTTTCACCCACCTCCCAGGTCAGCCCTGGTGCTATCGGAGGCATGTTGGTGCCAAGTCTGGATTTCCCTGCCAGTTTTACACCCTCCCATGGCAGGTAAGACTTTAATAGAATTCCACTGCTCCTCTGAGCTCAGTAATGCATTCTAGAAATTAGGCAGCTATATCCTGAAGCCATTGTTCCCCTTACAAATGGGCTCCCTCAAAGCCAGTGACCGTGGGGTCCCGATAAGCTCCCATGAAGCCTCGCTCCCATGTTATTGGCGTGTGCAAGGTGCGGCTCTGGCTTGCATTGCTCATTGTTAGGTCCTGATACATTTAAGTCGTTTCCCCATGAATCAGGCAGCTCAGGTATTTCCCCCCTCGTGACATTGATAGATGAGCAAGAGGAAGCCATTTAGACGGTGCTCTATAGGGCCCTGGCCCGCACGGTGAATGATTTCCAATGCCTGGTTTAATTTATTTTTAAATGAAATTTGTTATTGATTCTGGATTAAAAGGACAAATCTTACGGCTGTTACCACTGACAGAGCCACAGTGCTCAAGTGACACCTTTCAAGGAGGGGAGGGAGGGTGGCCTCCCAGAGTCAGGGGGAGGGCGGGGACTCTCCACTGAGCTCTGCTGACTTGGCAGTGAGAGCACAAGGTCCCCCCCCCCCCCGTTTGGAGCCAGTTTGAGATGAGCACCTTTCCCAACTGGAGAACGTGCTCGCCTTCCAAGCCTCATTTGCGTAGGGGAAATAGCACTGATATTTGCCTCTCGTCATCCACATGACTGCTAGACGCTTGCTCAGTTGCCTCCAGGGACAGGGGATTTACTCTCTCCCGGAGCATTCCAGAGCCCAGCGAGAGAGTAGAATGCTCTGTCCTGGTGGATTCCCCGAGACTTTCCTGGGACAGCGTGCCCTTACCCTCTGCCTCACCCAGCTCAGTCTTACAGGCTCGGTGGTTTGCATTCGGATCAGGGGTGCAAACAGCTACACAAGGAAGGCCCGTAGCCTCGGAATTTGTTCTTTGCATCTGGCTCAGCCTTGCACAAGTGACTCCGTCTCCCTGAGCTTCCGTCTCCTTGATTGTGAAAGGAGAATATTGGCCTCGGGGGTCATGAGTGCGAATGGAGCCTGGTAGAGGTGGGGGGGTCCCTCCAACGATGGGCCAGGAGCCTAGATGGCCATTACCGGAGCTGTAAGTCATTCTCTTTATCCAAATCTTAAGAGGAAATTTAATTAAAGGGAGAGAAATGGAGACACCTTGAGTTCCCTGCCTCAGGGGTCATAGATATGAATATGATTTGTAAACTGTAAATTGCTGTTTAAGTAGGTGTTCTCGACAATGTAAGTGGAACTGTAGGAGACAAGAGGAGAGCCCTGGTATGGGAGACAGAGGACCTGAGCATGTTTGGGCAAGTCACTGGCCCTGCCTGGTTCCTACTCTCCTAAGATGCAATGAGAATTGTTGCGTTAGAGCTGCTCAGAGGGCCCAAGAGCCTGGGCTCTGCAGCCTAGACCAGCACACTTCTAGCATCGCCTTGCTTTGGGCACCAAAGTCAACCTTTCTGAGTCTTGGTTTCCTCGTCTGTAGATGACAATGACTGGAAGATTTATTCCCTGTGTGCAGGCACTGTCCTAAATGCTGTTCACTCGGCAAATGATTTGCTTTTCACGAAGATCATTGAGGGAGGTCTTATTACCCTTACGTCACAGAGAAAGAAACTGAGGCAGAAAAATGAAATCACTTTGCTATGGTATCAGGGCTAGCAAGAAGTTGGGGCCCCTCCAGTACCATCCCACTTGAAACTTGAAACTCAAGGTGTGGCTCTAGGACCCAGTATTTTTTTTTAATGTGTGTGTGTATGTGTGTGCGCGTGCATGTGCACGCATGTGCCTACGTGTGGAGGTCAGAGGGCAAGCCTCGGTGGCAGTCACCTTCCACCTTGTTTGAGGTCTCTTGCTGTTCAGCGCGGGGCACAGCAGGCTAGCTGACCTGTAGCTTCCAGGCTTCTCTTGTTCCACCCTCCATTAGATGTAGGACCGCTGGGGTGGCGGGCACACACCACCAAATAGCTTTGCATGGGTTCTGGGGATCTTAGCTCAGGTCCTCTTGTGCAGCAATTGTCTTCTGTACCTAGTCATTGTCCCAGTCCCTAGAGTCCACTCTTATAACCAGCATCCTGCCGGTGTGGCCTCATTTTCTCCGAGGCAAGTGGGATGGCTAGATTAATTTGCACAGTGTCGGGTTCACTGCGGTGCAAAATGGGGCTGGGGACTGGGAAAAGGTAGCAGGTGTTTCTTGGGAACTTAGGCTGGATGCTGGCCCACGAGGCACTCAGTGACACAGTGGGCCTTCCCAGGTACACATATGGGAGGCCAGAACTTGATGGAGAGAAAGCATGTTCAAGGATGGAGCAGCGGTCACATCACAGAAAGATAATGCCAGTCAGACGAGCCAAGACGCCCAGGTAAGCAAGTGCAGCTGTCAGTCATCACACCATGAGCCTTCCCGAGTCAAAGCTTTCCTAGGAGCTGGTCATGATGACAATGCATGCCACCTGTAAACCCAGGACTGGGGGGAAGAGAGAGAGAGAGAGAGAGGCAGGAGGATTGAGAGATCGAGACCAGCCTCAGATACATAGTGAGTTCAAGTCCAGCCTGGGTTACATGAAACACTCTCACAAACAAACAAACAAACAAAAACAAAACAAAACAAAAAACTAGCCAACCAGAAAACAAATAAAAATTTAAAATATAGTACCTAGAGGCTGTGCGTGAAGACCCTGAGAGGCTATGACTTCTCCCTTCTCTCCTGTCTCGCTCAATCTCTGTGCCTGACTGTCTCTCTTTGTATTTTGAAATGTATTTGTTTCCAGTCTGCGTTTTAAGAGGAAAAGCCCAAGTTCGAGGCCGAGTTCTGCCACCACAGTGTTCTGGACAGGTCTGGGACAGGAGTTGTTGGAAGAGCCTGTGCATTCCTGGGCGATCCCGAAGGCGACTGTGTCTGCGGTACTGAAAGGGCGTCTGGCGGGGACGCCCGCGGTGCTGACATAGTTCTAAGAACGACGCCTGGCGGGGAAGGATGCACGGTTGTGAGGACACTGGGTCGTTTCTGGCGCCCTCAGGGTGCTATCCACCACAGCCTCTGGGAGAGGGCCGGGAAGACAGAAGAAAGGCAGAGAGCCCGGAGTGCCCCTCCGCTTCTCGAGTCTCTCAAACTTTAGGTACCGGGCGCCGAGCGCCCGCGGAGCTGGCGACTGGGTCCCCGCGGTGCTGCGTGGGGGCGGTGTCCACGGTGCTGAACCTCCGCGGCTCAGCGCGCCCGGGGCGCTGTCCGTGGTTCTGAAAAGATGGACGGCGCAGGGTGCCGTCCTTCGCAACGCTGAGACCACCCCGGAGAAAGCGAGGGAGAAATGGGGCGCGGGGGACCCTTCCTGGGGTCGGAGGCCTGGCCCCAGATCTCCGCAGGATCCCAGGGAAAGCAATCTGATGAAATGGGCTCCTCTTGTAATGCGCACAAACCCTTCTTTCCGGTCCCAACAACCCCAGTGAAGGGGTCAGGGAAGGAATCTTGGGAATGAAAGAGGCTTCATGCTTATACACACACACACACACACACACACACACACACACACACACACACACACACACACATCCTTCCGTCTAGGGGGAGCTTTACAGTCCAGAAGGGGGCGATCCAGTTCACTGTCTAGAGCCCCCAAAAAGCTAAGCCACGAGCCCCACTAACTGCTGAGTTCCAGAGAGGGGAACCCCAACGAGAACCACAGAGGGGTCACGTGGGCGCAGCGGTGCTCCCCACTTTACACGCCTAACTCCTAAGACCCTCACTGCTGCTTCCTGGAGGTGACATATGTCCCCACTTCTCAGACGAAGACCTTGAGGTGCAGGCACTAGGGATCTACACGATCACGCGGGGAGCCTAAGGCTCGCCCGTCTCTCATCCCGGGTGCGACCCCCACTCGCTTCCATCCGGCCCGCAACCCGCCTGGCCCCGGCCCCGGGCACTGCCCAGCTGGCAAAGTTGAGAGGTCCCTGCGGCGCGCGGGGCTGGCGGCAGGAGGGATGCTTCGCCCCTTAGTCCTGACGGGCGGCCCTCGGCTCGCATCCCCCTAGCTGGGGGAGGGGGGAGGCCTGGACCCCCGGGGGCCCCCCCCCCCGCGCCCGGGCCCGCCCCACCCCCGCTCCCGCGCAACCAGCCCAGCCGCGAGTACCGCTTTAAAAATCCCAGCCTGGGCAAAACTTTGATGATAAATCAAGCTGCGGATCCCTCCGCCGCCGCCGGCTCAGGGCGGGGAGCGAGGGGGAGGGCGGCGCGCGGCGGCGCGGAGTGGCCTTCCGCGCAAGCGAAGAGTCCCGCAGTCGGAGGCGGCGGGCTGGGCGTGCGCTCGCTGCCTGCAGCCGGGGCCGGGCCGGGGCCAGCGGGAGAGGGCGGCGGCGGCGGCGGCGCCGGGCAAGGCACGGCGGGCGCAGGCTCTGCGGGCTGCGGAGCCCCGATGTGAGGCGGCGGCGCCCCCGGCCGGAGCGCGCAGCATGGGGGCCCCGCTGGCCGCGGCGCTGGGCGCCCTCCACTACCTGGCACTTTTCCTGCAACTCGGTGGCGCCACGCGGCCCGCGGGCCACGCGCCCTGGGACAACCATGTCTCCGGACACGGTGAGTTCTCGCTCGGTCCCCAGAGGCTTCCTCCCCCCCCCCCCCCCCCCCCCCCCCTGAACCCCACCCCGGCCGCAGCCGCTCCAACTTGGCGCTTGCTGGGCTCGAACCTGCGCCGACCGAGGCCGCGGCCCGGAGTCCCCCGGGCGCCCCCTGCTGGGACTAGGAACCCACCCCGGGCCCCATCCGAGACAGCTCTGGGAGGAGGGGCCCCAAGCGCACCCCCGTTCTCGCCCGAGCTCTCGGAAGACCTCCTCCACGCGCGCACACGCTCACGCGGGTACACACACCTCCGCGACCGTACAGATGTCTCCGGGCGCGGACACACTCCGCCACGCTCGCTGCATCCCACACTCACAACTCCGCACACCCCCTCCGAGCCTCTCCTCGCTGGTAAACACACTTGTGCCCGCTACGCACACGCGTCAGACACTGGCTGCTGGCTCGCCCTGCCAGCTGGCGCCCAGGCACACACGCTTCGCTTCGCCACAACTCTTGTCTGTCTGCCTGCAGACGCGCAAACACGGGCACGCACTTTGCCCACGAGCTCCTCTCTGCCCCGGGGGCCTGTCTCCTTTGTGGGGTTCACGCGGAAGCTGCTCTCCTCTCCTTCGTCGGGCTCCATGCCTTCCGCGGCTGGGCATGGTCCTGAGGGGCCGCCGGCTGCCGCTGCTTGAGACCTGCTAGTCTGGGTGGCAGCTTCCTTGGCCGTGTGGGTGGCGTCCCGAGGGTGAGGGCGACGTGGGGAAGTGGAGGTCGGGGTGGAGAGCCGGAGTGGAAAGGGATTTAGGGCGCTTTGTTTGTCTCTGGGGGTGAGCAGGAAAACCCCTGACTCCTAGGGGGCACCCCATCTCACCTTCGCCCCGGAGGACTGAAGTGTTCAACCTCAGCTCCAGCGCTGTGGGAGCGGGGGAGGGGGGGGGGGCGAGCGAGCGTTTCCAGGACTGCCTGCCTGAGTGTCTGAAGCTCACAGGAGCCCAACTTGGCAGCGGAGTTGGGTGGCTGGGGCAGGTAGCTCTGTGGAGTCTCCCCGCCTGTGGTGGGGCGGGGATGGGTGAGAGCAGAGAAGCCCCCCCCCTCCATTCATCCCTCCCCCCAGCGGAGGCTACAGCACCCATGCTGTGCCCTGTGTGCCCAGGCTGGGGGAGGCTTGAACAAAAGGCTGAGGGCGGGATGATTTACTCTGATGGGAATGAGCGAGGGGAGTGTGCAGGAGCCTAGAAACCCAGGGCAGGCCTTCTGCGGCTGTGCTGCAGGAATGGGGTTGCTCCAGGGGGAGGGGTTTTCAAGTCCATGCTCCGGGTCCCTGCTTCTAGGGGCTCTGGATCCCTGCATCTACACCTCACTGTGTTTGACAGAAACCTCCCTCAGCGCGTCATTTACTTACCTTTGTATCCATCATAATTTCTGCTGACCTGGCTGGAGAGACACTAAGTAGAGAAAAGGACTATTTGGATGCTCTACTTACGGATGGGAAACCAAGCCTCAGAGAGGTGAAGGGGATGTGCCCAAGGTCACAGAGTGAGAGGGTGGCTGAGCCAAGGCTGGCTCCAGGGTCTGCCAGGCGAAGCAGCACTTCGCCCAGGACATTCATTTCCCTGTCACATTCCTTCTCATTCAGAGGAAACTGGGAACTCCTCCCTTCTCTCCCCTCCCGCCTGCTTGCCCAGCTCAGTTCCTTGGCACTGTCAAAACTTACACCAGGAGGCTTCTCCGAGAAGGACTTCCCTTTCTGAGTTTGAGGTCTCTTGAGATGCGAACATGGAACTCTGAGGCTTGCAGACATTCTGTCTTTAGGGCACCAGACCCCCAGGATTTTGGTTATTCTTGAGCAAACAGGCTCTTCCCTTTGTGCGACAGTCTCCTCCTGCCCCCTGGTGCCAGCTGGGCCGAGGGGGCACAGCCCCACTGTAATCTTCCCGCCCCCACTCTGGACCAATCCCTGAAGGCCCAGGGGAGGTGCTGGATGCAAGAGAGACAGGAGCTGCTGCTGGGAAGCTGCCTGTGTCTCTGGGTAAATGGGTCAGCCCTTGGGACCTCCTGCTCTGTCCCTCAAGAAATGGCCCAGCTGCTCCGCAGGGGCCAGGCTGCCTTCTCGACATTGCCAGGCTCAAAGTCACCAAGTAGTGGCTGCTGAGGAGCCCCACAGCTGCCCCTCCACCGGGCCCAGCACCCTGTCACCACAGGAAGGGTCTGGAGCCACTCACTTAATCACAAAAAGAAACAGTTATTAATGATAGTGAGACGCGGCGAATAAGTGGGTCATGTCTAATAAGCCATTTGTGTTCAGGAGGAGAATACCAATTTGATAAAAGCTGTGTGTGCTGAAAAAGCCCCGAAATTGCTGTTTAGCAGATTGGAGCCTGATCGTTTCATTATTCCTGGGCTCCACGTGCCCTCAGCTGATTCAGGGAATATGGCCAGGTCAGGATGGTGTCTCTGGGTTTGGGATAAAGGGTCGGGGCTAAAAGCAGGGATTCCTGGGGATGAGCCTGTGAGCCCCGACTGCTTGGCTTGGTGGCAGCTCATGGCTCCAGCTCCATCTGATCCTGCCCGGCCACCAGCTATTGCCTTACACCTGCCTATCCCCGGGGTTGTTACACAGACAGCCTGTGACCAGGTCAGCAAGGATGTCTGTTTACTCCCCAGCTCCCTTCCACATCCACTCAACCCCCTTCAAAGGAAGCATTGCAAAGGCTCGAAGAATGGATGGTGCCTGGCTCTAACAAGGCACCCGAACCCCGGCAGGATGGGGAAATGCGCACCTCTTACATGGTAACGTCAGCTCTGGCTTTCCTCCTAAGAAAGGGCCAGCTCACTGCTATGCGCCCAGCAGGGGTGGGAGGGAAGTGAGCTCCTGTGTACGAAATGCTGAAATGCTGACTATGTGTTCCAGGTGCCCCAGACCTCTTGCCACTGTGAACTTATGCAGGCCAGCACCGTTTGTGTGAGGCTACTCAAGGAAACTGAGTTCAGAGAGACCCTTACCCAAGGTCGCCGAGCCTATGCAGAGGGCCAGATTCAGAATGAAGGCCTGCAGGTGGCTCTGGGCCTGTCATCTCCAGGCCAGCCTTTGGGCAAACCCAGCCCAATCCTGTAATGAACTTTTTTCTTTGAATAGCCCTCATTGCAATGGGGGGTCCCTAGCTCCCCAGGGAACTGGTAAAACAATGTGTCATCGAGAAGGACCGGAAGCTCGGGAAGGTGGCAGATCTTGCTGGAGTCTACCTCTGAGCCCCCTGTGCTTTTTCTGGGTGGGGACAGGAAGGCAGAAGCCCCAGTCTGAGCCCACCAGGGTTTTTTGTGATAATGTATATGTCCCCAGAACATTGACCCTCTTTTTTCTTCTGTCCTTCCTTCCTTTTCTTTCTTTCCATTTGTTTATTTTGTTGAGGTGTGCATGAGATCAGAGGAAACATCCTAGAATTGGTTCACTCCCTCCACTATATTAGTCCTGGGGTTTGAACTCAGGTTGTCAGGTATGGCAGCAAGTGCATTTGCCTGCTGAGCCACCTCACGCTCCCTTCTTTTACTTGTGCTGGGGTTCAAGCCTTGTATTTGCCTGGCAAGAGCTATCCCACTGAGTTACACCTCAGTCCCCGCCCCCCAATCTGCATTTCAATGAGCTCCTAGGTGATTCTTGGCATCTGAAGAGAGGAAAGCCTGCCTTAAATAGTCACCCTACCTTCTGTGGGGATCGAGAGTGGGGAATCACCAAGCGCTCAGGCTTGCTTTAGCTTCCCGAGGAGGAGGGATGGAAACAGAGAAGCCTCGAAAACCCAAGCAGTATGCGGCCCCCGACCCAGCCCAGCACCATCAATTATTAATGCCTCCCACCCCACCCCCCAGTGCAGACAGAGCCCCCAGCCTGGCCTGGCACGCGGTCCAGTGAGCGATTACTGGTCTGAGATGTTCCGCCTTGCCGGGAAGAAGCTGTGGGGTGCCCCGGAGGAGGGGCTCTGGACCATTTAATATGCAGCTCATGCTCCGGCCTCCCTGGGTTCCTTACCTAACTGTTGGTATCTCACCATCAATAAGCTGGCTGGTGTGGTGGCTGGACTGCGGAAGAAAATTGAGTCCTGTCTGCTGAAGGTTGCGATGTTAAAAATGTGTGTTCTCCTTTGTCTCCTGCACTGGTGATTATGCCATCAATTACTCTCATAAACACTCAGCGTGGGCTGAGGGCTCCCAGCCTCCCATGGGAAATGGGCCCTCAGAAATGGTTTACCTCAAGGCCTTCACACCAGTTGCTTCTGACACCTTGCCCATGGGCAGACTCCTGGGGCCTTTTTTTGCCAAAAAAAGAAAAAAAAAAGGAGCTACAGGTGGCCTCTTGGACTCTGCTTCTTGCCACCTACAAGGACAGCAGGAGTTATGGGGAGCTTCCTTGTAGCCTGCAGGGCTACATAGCAAGACAGCCTTAAAAAAAAAAAAAGCAACCAAAATATCTTTTTTTAAAAATGGAAAGAAGGAAGGAAGAAGGAGAGAGAGAGGCAACCTGACTCAAGCCCACTTCCAGGTACTCAGCAACTCAGCCACTCTCCCTGAGACTTTAGGGAGGGACTGAGGACGATGGTTGATGTGGTTATGGGAAGAGCATCTCAAGCCGGCTCAGGGAGGTGCAGAGACGGATGGGTGGATGGATGGATGGGTGGATGGGTGAATGGGTGGATGGGTGGGTGGATGGGTGGGTGGATGGGTGGATGGGTGGGTGGATGGGTGGATGGGTGGGTGGGTGGGTGGATGGGTGGATGGGTGGGTGGATGGATGGATGGATGGATGGCAAGGTAAAGGTTTGGGATCCAAATTCTCACACATGCTCTATCCACATTAATCTATTTTAAAAACACTGAAAATAATTTAAACATCACAGGGAATCCATGTCTGCAGTAAAAAGTCTCATGAAACTGGCCACAGCAAGGATGGGGTGGGGTGGTAAGAGCGACCTCACTTTGTGTAGCCTGCGCCCAGCCCCTGGTGCTTATGGAATGAGTTTGCCA